TTGTGTTTCATTGACTATGTAAAAGCATTCAATTGTGTGGATCATCACAAATTATGAATAACATTGTGAAGAATGGGAATTCCAGAACATTTCATTGTGTTCACAAAGAACTTGTACACAGACTAAGAGGCAGTTATTCGAACAGAAGAAGGGGATAATGCATGGCTTAAAACTGGGAAAGGTGTGTGTCAGGGTTGTATCCTTTCACTATACTTACTCAATCTGTATGCTGAGCAAATAATCCCAGCAGCTGGACTATATGAGAAACAATGTGGCATCAGGATTGGAGAAGACTCATAAACTATCTGCAATATGACAATGACACAATATGTAGATTGTTGAAAGTGAAAAAGACTTGAAGAATTTGTTGATGAAGATCTGAGACTACCGCATTTATTATGGATTGCACTTCAACATAAAGAAAACAAAAATCCTCACAATTGGACCAAAAAGCATCATCATGATAAGTGGATTAAAGATTGAAGTTGTCAAAGATTTCATTTTACTTGGATCCATAATCAATGTCCATGGAAGCAGCAGTCAAGACATCAGATGATATACTGCATTGGGCAAATCTGCAAAAGACCTTTTTCAAGTGAAGAATAACAGAGACGTCTCCTCGAGACTAAGATGCACCTGACCCAAATCATGCTATTTTCAATAGCCTCTTATACATATGAGAGCTGGAGAATGAATAAGAAAGACCACAGAAGAACTGATGCATTTGAGTTATTGTGCTGGCAAAGAATATTAAATGGCATGGACAGCTAGAAGAAGAAATAAATCTGTCTTGGAGGAAGCACAACTGGAATGCTCCTTAGAAGTGAAAATGGCCAGATTTCATCTCTCATACTTTGGTCATGTTGTTAGAAGGGACCCATCCATGGAAAAGGATGTAATGCTTGGTAAACTAGAGGGTCAGCAACAAGAGGGAGACCCTCAATGAGATAGACTGATACAGTGGCTGCAACAATGGGCTCAAGCTTAGCAATGATTCTGAGGATGACACAGAACCGGGTAGTGTTTCATTCTGTTGTTCATAGGGTTGCTATGAGTCACAACCAACTGGATGGCACCCAACAACCACAACACATATGTGAACAATTAGTCTATTTCAGTTTTTTCTCTACATATTCAGTAACTAACAACAATAAAAAAAAAAATCTGTTGTATTATAGGGATCCTGTGAAAGTTAAGTTAAAAGAACCAATGAAAGAACTGGCCAATCAACCAACCATGCTGTCCACCTGACAAGCTCTTTCAGGAACATATGACAGCATGGACCAGAACCATTAATCTAGTAGAGACTCACAAATCCTCATCCCAAGACTCCAAACCTCAAATTCCACCAGTGCCTGTTCCAAGTTCCTTGATATCTCATTAAGTTTTGCAACATTGTTCTTCATCTCTTCTGTGGTCATGACTTCACGCTTCCTAAAAGCTTCCAGTTCCTTGTTGTAGCCCTCAAGCTTTGACTCAAATTCCAAGCACCTTAAAGCAAAGAGGAGCGCAGTCATATTGGGACTTTCTATTTTGTGCATTTTTAAAGTATCATTATTGCTCACCCATAGTTAAGCCTGGGAAGAATCTGATTTTCTGGGACATGCAGATATGTGTGTGTGTAAATTTTTAACTGTAGGAAAATAAGATAATAAATGAAGTAGAAAAATAATTTAAACAACCTACAGTTCCATCTCCCAGACATGACTACTGTGAACTACTGGTAATTAAACATTTCCAGATGTTTTCCCACAAATGGAAATATTATAAGGGATGTATGTATGTTTATACATATTATTTATCGACCTATTAGATATTTATTACTGAGTGCCTAATATGTTCTAGGAACTTCTCTAGAAGTTAAGCTCCATACCTCATGGAGCTTGTGTTTTAAGTTAGGGGGAGACCCAGAAAACAAACATGAATGTACAGATGAATGAATGGATGGATGGATGGATGGGCAAAAGGATGGATGAATAGTATGATCAGTGCTCTGAAGGAAACAGAACAGGGCAGGGTGACAGTATATGAAAATAGAAGGCTACTTGATCTAGAGTCATCAGGAAATTAACCTTTCCAGAGATCGGTCTACTTGATACTTATTATCAGTGAAGCAAATTTCCAGTCTACTTCTCCCTTTCCCTAATGTGTGCTAGAATAATGTAGTGTTAAGTGCACAGACTCTAGGTTCAAATTCCCATTCTGTCACTTATGTGAACTTGGGCAAGTCACTTAACCTCTCTATACCTCACACAGAGGTGTATCTATGATAATTAAGTTTAAATTGGTGAATGATCTCTCACAGCTAGAGATGGAAACTGGGGTGGCCAGCAGAAATTCTCATTGGAGCCTCCCCTCAAGTGGCACCCAGGGTATGTGCCACACCTGTCCTATCTTAGATCTATCTCTGACCTCAGATCAGATACAGATAAAGTGCCTACTTCAGTATTTAATAAATATTAATGTTTAGTATTCAATATTCTTACTAAGGTAACATATACAAAATTCTTAGACTTGAGCTGGTACATAGTAATCACTGTATAATTATTCACTAGAATGTAAACTCTATGAATGTAGTTTTTGTCTCCTTCATTCCTTGTTTTGTCTTCATCATTTAGAAGTGCAAGGGAATTTGCCATTGAGAACAGCTATAGTGACATCCCACCAATTTATATATATATAAACTGACAGCCATTGATTTGATTCTGACTCATAGAGACCCCCTTTGGGTGTACAAGGTGGTAAATCTTTATGGAAGTAGATTGCCCAGGCTTTCTTCCATAGAGTGGCTGGTGGTTTTGCACCTCCAACCTTCTGGTTAGCAGTCAAGTGCCATAGGCACTACTCCACCAGAGCTCCTTAGTTTTCTATATAGGGTGGGCATTATTTTGTATGTATTTTGTTATGGTAGTTTTAACGTTCTTTTTTTCCCTTAAAAGCAATTTAAGGGAGTTAATTTTCAAGTCCACCCACTGTCTGCCAGTGGCTTGCATGCTACTGAGATACTGGAAGTTGTTCCACTGGTATTGCAAATACTAGCAAAGTCCATGGTGGACAGGTTCAGCAGAGCTTCCTGACTCAGACAGACAAGGAGGAAAGGCCTCAGATATAGCGCTATCTAACTCACTTGCTTCAACATGGAGGGATCAATCACTGAAGGAGGAGATCATGTTTGATGAAGCAAGAGCCAACAAGGGCAAGGGAGACCCTCAGTGAGATGGATTGGCAGGAGGACCACAACAATGGACTCAAACATGCTGGTGTTCATGAGGATGACACAGGACGAGGCAACATTTTGTTCTGTTGTACATAAGGTCACCATCAGTTGACATCAACTCAACAGTATCTATCCATCTGTCAATCTATTTTTTAAGTGGTTAGATTTGGGTTTTATTACACATTGAATTGTGTGGAAAGCAGCCTATAAGATGGCATCCAATGATCCAATGATCCATGCCTCCTAGTATTCATACCCTTGTGTATTTCTCTCTCCTTGGACCTACTGAATAACTTTTAATAAAAAGAATATAGCAAACCTGATGGGATGTCACTTCCAAGATTAGGTTACAGAAAGACTGACTTCTGCCTAATTTATACTCTCTCTTTCAGTCTCTGTTGCCTTAAGGAAAGCCAGTTGCCATGCTGTGAGCTACCCTATTTGAGATGCCCATGAAGCAAGAAACTGAGGGCAATTTCTGGCTAACAGCCATCAAGGAACTGAATTCTATTAACAATCTTGTGGGTCAGCACAGAAGCAGATCCTGGGAAAAGAAGGTTAAGTTTCTTGTAGAGAAATAGAATTGTTTTCACAGAAGGTGAATGAATACATGAATACAGCATAAATAGTGTGCCTCTTCACACAGGGTCACTCTCCAAACTGATGCAAAACAAAGGGCGTGAGATTCAAAGTTCACCAAAGAGAGGGCTGAGCCCGGGTTGCAGGTCCCTCCTCAGTCTTTTCTAGGGCAGCTCTTCTGTCGACTTCTGATGATAGATAAGCCTGGCAACCAGTGGATCAGCTCAAGTGTTCTCCCATTCACCCTTTGTGCTGCTTACCTTCAATAGCACTACTGCCTCTAATTACTCTCTCTCCAATTTATGGTAGAGTTATGCTCTAAAAGCATGCTTTCAAGGTGCTGATTTGGATGTTAAGAAGTGCTTTTCTCTCAAAAGAAGTATTGTTAAAAGGGAGAAGGAAGGATGGTTTTGTAAGCCCATTATGTCCCAGAAAAGACCTAGGCACAATCTCAGATCATCTTATCTCAGTCGTCAGTTCGATGAGGTAGGCTCTACTGTAACCCATTTTCTAGACAAGGAAACTGAGGCTCAGACACATTAAGAAACTTGCTCCTGATCACGTAATGTACGTATCATGGTTCTGTTCCCTGGTTACTCATAAAAATCAATTCTACTCATAAACCTTGAATTGTGTGGAAAGCAGCTTAGTTCTGAGTCCTGGGAACAGTGGTGTTCTTATTGTGAGTTGCCACAGAGTGGATTCTCACTAAATGGCGACTCTAAGTGTGCAGAATAGAACTACTCCATAGGGTTTCCAAGGCTGTGACCTTTTGGAAGCAGATCACCAGGCCTGTCTTCCAAGGCACCTCTGGATGGATTTGAAGCTCCAACAATTCAATTAATACTTGAGCATTTAACCATTTGGCCACTCAGTGACTCCTAGGAATAGTATACAGTATATGTGTGTGTATTTGTAGGAAATATCTATATATCTCTATCTATCTACCTATATCCATCCCACTGCCATCAAGTCGATTCCAACTCACAGCAACCCCTGTAGGGTTTCCAAGGCTATAAATCTTTATGGAAGTAGATTACCTCATCTTCCTCCCACAGAGCAGCTGCTGGGTTTGAACTGCTAACCTTCTGGTTAGCAGCCAAATGCCTTATCCACTGCACCACGAGAGTTCCTTATATGTATGTATGTGTATATGTGTATAAAACGTTTTTTTGCAGTGTTTCCTCCCCTCCCCTCCCCTCCCAACATTGGTAACCAACAAAGAAAGTTTCCTTCCATATATAAACCTTTCCTTGACTTTTTACAATAATGAACTAATACTATATTTGTCCTTCTGTGATTGACTTATTTCACTCAGCATAATGTCCTCCAAGTTCATCCATGTTATGTGGTGTTTCATAGATTCTACATTATTCTTTAGTGTTGCATAGTATTCCATTGTGTGTATGTACTATAGTTTGGTTATCCACTCTTCTGTTGAGGGGCACGTAGATTGTTCCCATCTTTTGGCTATCGTTAATAGTGTTGCGATGAACATGGGTGTACATATATCTGTTCCTGTCCTGGCTCTCACTTCTTTAGGATATATACCTAGTAATGGGATTGCTAGGAGCTGTAGTAGCGTAGTGCCTAAGGCACTTGACTGCTAACCAGAAGGCTGGTGGTTCAAACCCACCAGCCACTCCTCAGAAGATTGGGCAATCTACTTGCATAGTGATATCGCCTCAGAAACCCAAGGAGGGGTCACTATGAGTCGAGTTCAACTTGACGGCACCTAACAACAACAACGGGATTGCTGGGTCAAGTGGTATTTCTAATTCTAGCTATTCAAGGAATTGCCATACTGCTTTCCACAGTGGTTGAATCACTTGACAGTCCCACCAGCAGTGTATGGGAGTCCCAATCTCTCCACATCCTCACCAGCATTTGTTATTTTCTGTCTTGTTGTGCTGGGGTAAGATAGTATCTCGTTGTGATTTGCATCTCTCTAATTGCTAATGATCATGAGCATTTCTTCAGCTATTTGCTGGCTACCTGAATATCCTCTTTGGTGAAGTGTCTGCTCACGTCTTCTGCTCGTTTTTTAAATGCATCTTTTTTAATTTTAATCTTTTTATTATTGAGGTGTTGGAGCTTTCTATAAATTTTACAGGTGAATGCTTTCTCAGATATGTCGTTTCCAAATATTTTTTCCCAATCTGTAGGTTCTCTTGTTTACTGTTTTGGAGAACTTTTGAAGCACATAAAAATTTAAATTTTAGAAGGTCCCATTCATCTAGTTTATCTTCTGCTGTGTGTGCATTTTGGGTTATGCTTGACAATCTATTTATGCCATAAATGAGGGCCCCTAAATTTGTTCCTCTTTTTTCCTTGAGGAACTTTATAGTTTTATGTTTCACATTTAAATCTTTGATCCATCTGGAGTTAGTTGTTGTGTATGGTGTGAGGTATGGATCTTGTTTCATTTTTCGGTAAATGGATATCCAGTGTTGGCCAGCAGCATTTGTTAAAGAGACCATCTCTTCCCCCATGTAATGGAGTTCAGCCCTTTCTCAAAAATCAGCTGACCATAGGTCAATGGATCTATTTCTGGGTTCTCAGCTCTGTTCCACTGGTTTTTGTGTCTGTCGTTCATTGTACCAGTACCAGGCTGTTTTGACTACTGTGGCTGTATACTAGGTTTTGAGATCTGAGAGTGTGAGATCTCCTACTTTGTTCTTCTTCTTCTTCAATA